TTGAGGAGCAGAAATCAAGAGGAAAAATCGAAGAAGGAAGAAGGAAGAATCCGTCAATTAAGAAGATTTTGAAGCTGTCGATCGATAGGATTTTGAATCCGTCGATTGAGAGGTTTTTCAAGAAGCAGCAGAAATTGTCGATCGAGAAAGAGATTGAACTGCAGACGAGAGGAACGAAAACCAGAGGCAGAAATCGATTTCAGATTTGGAGTTGATTTTGGAGCGGGTTTTATAGGGTTCTTCCTAAATTCCAATTTTACAAGCATTTTGTAAGTATTCGGTTTCCAATTCCTAGTATGTGCAGCTAATTTTCATATTCTAGTAATAATCATGTGATTACTTTGAATTTGGATTCGTGGAGACTTACATCCATTTTAATATCAATTGAAGCTATTTATGCGATTTTAGAGTTGAATGCTTATCGTTTTGAGTTGGATATTTTGAGTAGGATCCCTTGTTATGTCTAATTCAATTTCGAGTTGCTAGATAAACCTTTAAATCCGTAATTGCTTTTCGGTTTATTGAAGTAGCACACGACACACAGTTGACATTTATGTTGAATGATGATTTATAAGATCGTATAATCTAATCTAAACAATCGGCGCCCGATTGTCGGTTAGTGTTGGGTTTGTTTGACGTTAATGCAATTGGCAATTAAATTCTAAGTCCGTGACTAGGTTTGATTAGTTAATTAGAGGTTAGTCGTAGAGTGTTCAAGGCTGATCATGTTTTTATAACGAACAGAAAATTGACGCGTGTCGATATCCTAACCAACTTAGTTTCTTTTGAGAAAAACGGATTACATGAGTCGATGATATATAATCCAAATGATTAGTTGATTGATGCTCATTGCTAGTCTCGTTCTTATTAAAGTTCTCAATTTATTATGAATATTTAGGCTTTTTATCAATCTTCCAACCCCCCCCCCCCTTTTTATATACACACAATTTTTTTATGAATTTGCACAAGGTTACGTTTTGGACTTACGGTTAACACCGAGTTCCTGAGGAGACGACCCTACTTATCAATATCACAAGTTGTGTTTTAGAGATAATAGGCTTATTTTTATAAAATTCTATTATTTGCCGGACTCGACACCCGTCAATTACCTTATCACACGCGAATCGTTTACCTGTAACTATTCAATACCCCTACGAAAAATTGATCACATCCGAGCGTTTTCGCAACCGAATCCACTTTGAATTTGATAAATGTATTGCTTGTGAGGTATGTGTTCGTGTATGTCCTATGGATCTGCCCGTTGCTGATTGGAAATTAGAAACTGATATTAGAAACAAAACGATTGCTTAATTACAATATTGATTTCGGAATATGTAYATTTTGTGGTAATTGCGTTGAGTATTGTGCAACAAATTGTTTAACAATTCTATAAGACATTTTATCAAACAATTCATCTCCTAGAATTTAGATCCAAAATGAAACTTAGAGGCCGTTTACCAAACGCTTACTCGGGTAATCGCTTACCAATTCACATTAATTCCTCATCGGATGGATATGATAAGAACCAAAAATCTTACCCGATAAGAACGAGACAAATCACAATTTATTTTCCAGTGAATTGATTACTAGAGAGATTTACATGTTGGTCAAATCACAATCTATTTTTTAGTAATAGTTATCTGCATCTCTACAATATGTATTTTTATTACGTATAGTTTAAATAAAATATGTTATTTTAATTAAGGAAAAAAGTCTAAAAAACCCAATAAACTTTTCATTTTGAATGATTTAGTTTTTGAATTATTTTTCTAATGAAAAAAACGTTTTACTTTCTCATTTTGAATAATTAAGTCTATGGATTACTTTTTGAATGAAAAAAATCATTAAACTTTCAAATTTTGAATTATTAAGACTGGTGTTTTTTTAAAATAAATAAACAATTGAACTTCTACCAGTCAGTTAATGTAATTTTAGAAAAAACGATAGATAATATAGATTTAGAAACTATTACCGATTGATATTATGTCTACAAATAAACAATGAAATTGCTTTATATGAATTATTAGTTTATAATAATAACCATATATCGAAGTTCCGTTGACCCTCTTTTTACATGCGTCTAAAGGCTATAAAACTTCAGGAATTGACCTGACTATTTTATTTAAGCTTTTGGAGTGCAATATGACCGGTATTCATGTAGGTATATAATGTCTATTGACGGGTGCCGAGTCCAGCAAATAATAAAGTTTATAAAATAAGCCTATTACTTCTAAAACAGAATTTGTGATAGTGATAAGTAAGGTCGTCTCCTTTGGGACTCGGTGTTAACCGTAAGTCTTAGACATAACTACGTACATATTCATATATATATATATATATATATATATATATGGGCCTAATTAAATGAAAACTAATTAATTTGTGGTAACCGTGAGGTCCAATCTTAACCACAAATCAATAGATAAATTAGGAAATTTTTAATTTTGGTAATTTTTAATTAAAATTTTAATGTAAGGACATTTTGGGTATTTTCTCTCCTCTCTCCGTCCCCCGGCCTCCGGCCATCGTCCTCCGGTGATACCACAGTGATATCACAATGCATCTTATATGTGCTTGGGTATCACACTGAGATCGTTTGTGTGGTCAATTGGATATGTAACACAGTGGTATCACAATGCATTTTATATGTGTTTGGGTATCACATTGAGGGATGAAAGATCGATAAATAGCCTAAATATGCAAAATAAACTGAGAACTTTAAACAATAATAAGAAAGAGATTAGCAATGAGCATCAATCAACTAATCCTTTGGATTATATATCATCGACTCATTCAAACCGTTTTCTCAAAAGAAGCCAAGTTGGTTAGGACATAGACATATGTCAATATTCTGTTCGTTATAAAAGCATGATCAGCCTTGAACACTCTACGACTAACCTCTAATTAGCTAGCCAAACATAGTCACGGACTTAGATTTAATTGCCAATTGCACTAACGTCAAACCAACCCAAGGCTAACCGACAATTGGGTGCCGATTGTTTAAATTAGATTATTATATGATCTTGCAACATCATCACTTAACATAAATGTCAACTGTATGTCGTGTGCTGCTTCAATAAACTGAAAAGTAATTACGGGATTAAAGATTTATCTCGCAACTCGAAATTTAATCAGACATATCAAGGGATCCTTTTCAACAAATCCAGCTCAAAACGATAAACATTTAACTCTAAAATCGCATAAATGGCTTCAAATGATGTTAACATCGACGTAAGTCTCAACGAATCCAAATTCAAAGTAATCACATACTCGTTAGGAATATAAAGTTTAGCTGCTCATATTTGACGTTTAGGGGGTGTTTGGGATTGCTTATTTAAAACAACTTATGTTTTTTTGTAAAAGTGCTTATTAACTTATGTGGTATCAAACTGGAGTTTTGTAAAAAGTGTTTGGATTAGCTTACAGCGGTACCAAACTGCAATAAGCTGATAAGTTGATTTTTAGTGTTTGGCAAATTTTGCTTATATCTGTAAAATGACCAAAAAGGACAGAGAGAAGATTGATGTTGTTATATGGAGAAGGGAGAAGATTGATATCGATGTTATCTGGAGGAAAAAAGATAGGTATAAAGGGTAATAGGGTTAAAATGGTAAACTGGTAATAAGCAGTTTTTCATAAGTCATAACGGATTAACTTATCAAAAACTGCTTATTACCGATTTGGCACCGGTATAAGCAGTTTTCTTTTTTCTTATCCAAACACTAGGTATTAGCTTATCACTGGTGCCAGACTGAAATAAGTCAATAAGCAGATAAAATAAGCAATCTCAAACACCCGCTTAAAAAAACCCAGAGGTACTTACAAAAGTTTGCAGAATTGAATGTAAGGAACAACCCGGAAATTGTCTCTAAAATCTGGAAATCTGCTTACTATTTCTTTCCGATTTCTGGTTCCTTTTTTCCTCTCAATCCACAGTTTCTGCCTCGAGCTCTCTTTCGATTTCTCCTCTGTTTTCTCGTTCGGCTCTGTCTCTCGATCGACTCTCTCTGGTGATCGATTTCTGCTCCCTCTCTTAATCGAACCTGGTTCTTCCCTTCTCCGATCCTATCGACTTCCAGTCTCGCTCTCGGTTTCCAGTTCTCGTCCCTCTCCTGTTTCCGGTTCTGTCTTGCTCCCTGTCTCTCTCGAAAGTTTCTGGTCTCCCTTTCTGGTTGAGTGCTTCCCTTTTTCCTCCTTGACTTCCCCCCTGTTTTCTCGTCGTCTCGATCAAAACTGCCTCCCCGGACGTGGTTGCTGCTGGGCTATTTTGCTATTGTTTCTTCACGGCTGCTTGCTTTGGGAATGCTGTTTTGGGCTTCTTGCTGGGCTGCAGCTATTTAGGCTGTTGTTTCTCTTCTATGGCAGCCATGGCAAGTTCTACCATTGCAAAACAATTTCAGTTTTCGCCATTACATTGCACCTACCAAAAATCAAGATTAAGGGCATCTATTAAATCATGATAAACTGCAAGAGATTTTGACATAAAACTGAGTTCAAATATCACCTAATGGCTGTTGCCGTAATTGATTTGCAAAGGTGCTACCTCCGAATGTAGATTGATCCAATATGTGCTCGGGTGAGAAGGCAGAAGCAGGACTAGATAGGGAACCAGTAGAGCTGCTATCACTAACAATGGGGGTGTTTTTTCTATTAACCTGAATATCCAAACCGCTATGCGAGCCGACTAATAAAACAAATTGAGATACAGCGTCGATGAATTTGGATGAGGGCTAAGGAATTTGTCGGATTGGAATTTGAAATCCGTGGTATATGCGGTGGAGTTGTGAAATCCGTGATTTAAGGAATTTGTTGGAATTAGAAGGATTCCTTTACATCTATTAGACTATCATGTGAACCAAACATGGTATTTGGAATTTGGTCAAAGATTTGGACATTCCAATTCCACCAAATTCCATGAATCAAACACCCCCTAAGTTTTTAATAAATTCGTTGGAATTTTAGTCAATTGATTATCAAACATTACCGATGACCATCCAAAATATCAAAACGACTTCAAATTGATATATTCATAAAATTGTCACAACAGCAATAAAACAGATTTATACCATATTTCGACCATCACTAAATTCACCATCGACCATTTTACACACTACACCATATATTACCGCTAGTCTAAAACCAACACCATGTCAAAGAAAAACAACCAACGATCAAAAAAACATCAAATTCAATGCTTTTGTAGCGGTGGCGGAGGCTTGCATTGGTAACATTTTGCAAACAGACCGAACGTATCAACCTGTTTGATGAAGTTTGTCATGCTTGCCCACCCTCCGAATCCGAACCCCACCACAAAAACCCACACGACAATAAATACGTTCACTATGTACATGGCCGTCCAGCTCGGCAAAAAGAATGGAGGCTTCTCCGCTGCGTTCTGCAACCGACAAAAAATTAACGTCATGTATAAGATACATCTAGCCTTAACTCCCCAGAACCTGAACCAGGGCGCACCAGGGCCCTAGCCAGTTGGGTAATGTTAGTAGGTGTGTGCAATAATAGAGAATGTGATTGCTACATCTAAGCTTAAATCAATAATAATGGAATGCCACCAAACTTCATTTTCTTCTATTTTCTACCCCCTTAAGTTTGAAGTTATGAGTGCAAGGTACATTTCGTTTTCTCACAACTAATCATGTGAAATGATCTGATAGTTTGGTGTTCCATAGGTGTTGTTGTACAGGACAAGTAGCCTATGCAAGGCCCGATGTTGCATCAAAACGAAACCGTCATATTCGTTGAACAACTGATTAATGCGTAGTGATATATAGGATGCTTGGACGGATTACCTGGCGAGCAGAAGCTTTTCGGTAAGTGAGCATATGGGCAAGAGCTGGGATGATGTAGACGGTGAAGCTGACCAACAGAGCTCCGACAGCCGAATTGATCGGACCGAAAAAGGGGAAAATGATGGCTAGGAACCAGATTGGTATCACCACTGGCAGCCTAGCTAATGCTCGTAAACATATGCTCTTTGTGTCGTGCATTCCCACGACTTTCTCCCACACAAAATACAGCGGCGTACACGCAAAACCAAACGTTATAAACTGCAAAAATACAAAAGAAACACACCCAAATCGATCAAAACACAAATCAACAGTTTTATTATTAAGTCAAATCAACGGTTCCAATGACCAAACCTGATGGATGAGCATGAGGATCACGGCTGCATCACGGAATCGAGTTTTTGGCAGAAGGGAGAAAGCATTGGAGTGATTCAGGAGCTGGTCACCGAAGGCCCAGTACATCGCGGCTGATGATGGTAATGTTAAGGTGAATACATATAAGGTAGCAAACAGATATATGTACTTGAATTTCTGTGGCTTCCACATAGCATGCATTATTTCACTGAAACCAACACGTAATACGCATCATTAACCACAAATAACGCGAAAACTAGCATTCGAATTAGGAACGAGTTCACTAACACTGTAACAGCATGTCCACCAAAAGTGTAGAGTATGTTTGTGGCTCCAGTGAAGTACAAAACCATCTTTGAAGGACCCGAATGAACCACTCCTTCACCCTACATCATAGAAAAATGCGTCAATAAACCAAACCAAACTAAACGTACCCAGTATATCCCACTCAAGGGGTATGAAGTCTACAGAGATTTCCTCTATCCCATGGAGAAGTTACATAATTACCCTTATTGGGTCGAGTTGTTATCTCGCTTGCATATTTACAATAATTACCCCTTATAGATACACTATTATACCTGACCATGGATCAAGGCTGCAATGGCCAAGTACCAAGCAGTGTAGGTGGTCATGCCAAGGCCAAGAAAAGACCAAATTCTGTAATTGTGGAAAGAGGGTATGAAGACGGTCGTAGCACAGCAAGCTCCGAATATGTATGTCCATGTCCTCTTGTCCAAATGATCGTTTATGTAATATATATTGCTGCATATATCACACAAAATACAACATCGATTTCAAAATACCCAAGATATTGTATTAATATCATCAAAATACATGTTTTAAAACATAATTTTAGGGATTATGTATCAGAATTGAAATGAAATTAAGCTCACCTTGCACAAGCTATAAGTTGTATGACAGAGCCAAAAAGAAGGAAGGTGCAGTTGAAGGCCAACCCCACAGCTTTCCAATGTGGGCCCAAAAGACCATCCAGCACCTCAAACCACTGCATAAAACTTGAATATAAAGCATTTGTCTAAAACCAAGGTACAACTTTTCAAGGACATTGTACAATAGGTCATAGAACAGGTTGGATTTGGCATTTTAACCACACAAAAGAACAAAGTTTGTGTTCTCTATGAATGCTTAATTCCAAATCATCAAGAACTCTAGGGAAAGCACTGGGCTTTTTCAAAGACAACTAGTAAAATACAAAAAACAACCATGGTTTCATGCCATTTTCTTTCGTTTTTCTTCTTCTTAAAGTAGACCCACCATCAGATATTTGTTTTTTTTCACTACGTAAATGTGAAAGTGTCGAAATGAATGGAAATTAACCTGAATAACATGGTTCTTGAAGCTGACATTCTCTTTCTCCTTTCTGGCTCTATACTCCACATACAGAACACTGATGAGATAAGCAGTCCAACTTCCAAGAAGACCATAAAACACTTGTAATATGATTCCTGAAAGCATACCCAATTGAGAAAAAGAGTATGGCAAAGTCAACAGAACTTGTGCCACCTGAAATCCCAAATCAAGAAACACAAAAGCCTCAATCTTTTTGTATAAAGAGAGTATAAGGTATAGTGGGTGTTTCAGTAGCTTACCTGGTTTGAAGCACAGCTGAACCAAGCATCATAAACAGAACCACCATGCCAAAGAAAGTTTTTGAAGCCAGACATTGACTGATCTACCCCTGCCTCCCCTTCTCCCTGATCTTGCTCATTTTCACCCTTCATTTCCCCAGATACTATGGCCTCTTCAGCTTGCTTATTAGGAACCATTTTTTGCTCTGTTTTGTTACTTCTACAAAACTCTTCACTTATCAAAGAGATCTGAAACTGAAGACAACACACAACACATCATAAGAAGAGCAAAAAAGACTGTTTCTTTGCCTTTATTTTGGTTTGGTGGCATGAACTGTGTGAATCAATGCAAATAATTAAATATAAGTAACCGAAACTACACATAAACATATGCTTACACATGTATATATATCCGAAAAATCTTGAAAAAGGGAGTGATTTTTGGCAAATAAAGTGAGTGAGAGAGGGTGATGTAAGAAAAATTACTACAAATGTATTTTGACTTTTATAAATATCCCAAAAAAAAAACTAGCTCTGAATCGGTGCTGATGATGATTGCAGTTTCCCAAGATTGGCAAATTTTTAACCACAGTAAACACCATTAAAAACCCCCTTATTAAAGAACCAGAAAAACAGAGAGGTTGGTTGATGATGGAATTTGCAGTGAAAGAAGGTAAAAGCAGAGAGGTTGATGGTGGAATTTGCAGTGCCAAGAGACATACCAGAGATAGAGAGGTTTGATTCCTCTTATTCTTTTAGTGTGTGTATATATATATATATATATATGTGTATATATATATATATATATCTCTCTCTACTTTCTCTCACTAGAAGTTGAGCTGTTGAAATTTTTAGGGAAGGATGAACAGCCATTGATGAGGGCTTTAAAGAGAAAATGTGAGTGGCTTTTCGCAGGGGCAAAAAGTGAGCCCGCGATTTATCACTCTGCTGATTTGCTCTCTTTTGTGTTTCTTTGTCCCTGTAAAATTTTCTGTTATTATGGCTGCTCAGAGAGAGAGAATCTTGTACAGTTGTTAATGGTAGAATATAAAATCTTTTTCTTTTTACTGCTTTTTGATGTAAACCAAATTGACACTACATGGGTTTTAATTTCCACAACCTTTTTTACAAAAACACTCATTTTAAAATAAATGAGAGGGTATTCGTATAATGCACCGAGATACATCTTGAATTTAATATTTTATTTTATTATTTATCTCAGTCGATGTTATAATATGGTCTTATGTGATTTTGAAAAAGTGATGATGTTTTTATTTTTGAATAAAATATAAAYTTGAAGATATCWTAAAAATTTGACAAAAATATATAGATATTAGTATCAAATTAATTATTTAAAATTCTTATTTTTTGTGTAATTTTTTAATTCAATTTTTTTATTATAATTTAATTTAGGTTCAATAACGAAGTAATTTATATTTGGTTTAATAATGTAATTTTCTTATAAAGATAATAATTAATTATTTTGTTAGAACTCGATAATTATCTTAATTGTATTTTAAATTTTTTATATTTTTAAAATAAGATGTTTATCCTCTATTTGATTATGTTTATCCGCAGTTAGTTACACGAATTCAATATATGAAGCTTTAATAAGTTGTATTTATGCATAGTTTACTTGTAATCTTGAATTTTAAATAATATGCATAAATATACAGTACTTTATGCATAAAAAATGGTTTTTAATAGCTTTTGTCAAATATTTTATAATATATTATAGATTAAAGCTAGTAATTTAAAACTTTAGTTATTATTTTCATAAAAAAAATATAATTATAATAATTAATCAAATATATTCATTAAACTATAACTTTATTAACACCACCATATTTATCTCATTTTGCATTTTTTGTTATTACGATTCATCCAAAATCGCCTGATCATGTGAACCATGAGGCTTCTATAGCTTTTCACAACCCGTCGGTTACTTTGTATAATAATTAAAAAAACCAACCAAGTTTTGTATGATTGATAATCACATGAAATGGCTTTTTTTAAAGAGTTTTTTCTAATAAAATGGGACTTAAAAGCTTAAATGGTAATATTCAAAGCTTATGCAGTTACAAACAAAAAAAAAATCTATTATTATATGTTTTTTAACATCGATACCGTAACCAAAAAAAAATTCAATTTAAAGCAAGAAAAAGTAACTTTTTTCCTACCAATTGGCCTTTGGTTTAGTGGCATGTGAGTCATTGGCTTTCTAAGAGGTCAAAAGTTCAAAAACCACTAAAGGTGATAAGAGTGTGTGAGTTTATTTGTCCTATTTACCGTATATAAACATTATATAATTAAAAAAAGTAACTTTCCTATCGTAAACGCTCTTAGTACATAAAAATTTTCAAACTTATTTGTTATTTAATTTAACCATAATTTTTTCCTAAGTTGTCCAAATTCAAATTTATTTTGTTATTTATCAATAAATAATTTTTATTTTATATTTACTTATGGGTGTTTTACATCTATAAAACAGTAATTAAATATACTGGTGAAATTGATAAAAATGCATCATTTTTTACCCTGTTTTTATAATTTATGTAACGTTCCTAGAGAACTTTCATGTTGGTACTTGGATGTGACATCTCGAGCAACTAGTATCTGATTTACATATGAAAATGCAACATATTTTTGTCAATATTTCTATATAATATATCGTATTCTGGTTTAGATTTTTCAGATACCACATATGAAGTACCAAAATAAGAATTATGAAAATGTGCTATATATTTTCCTTACATTTTTATACAATTTATCTAAGGGGTCGTTTACCAAATGCTTACTCGGGTAAGTAAACATCAACTCACATTACCTTACCGGATGAATATGGTAAGGACCAAGAATCTTACCCGGTAAGAGCGAGACAAGGACCAAAAGTCTTACCCGGTAAGTAAATGTGACGATTATTACCACGGTAAGCGCTTACCGGATAAATTGTTGCATACGATACCGTTTTTGTGGACTAAAATCTTACCCAGTAAGTCAATGATATGTTAAATTTTGTCGGTAAACACTTACCGAGTAAGTGTTTGGTAAACGACCTCTAAATGTATTTACTAAACTATATCTAATCAAATGTTACATGTATTAAATTGGGCTCGTCCTTTTTCAACACCATAAATACCAAATTCAGAGCAATTATAGTTGTACCTTAAACAATTGTCCTTTATTTTCTAATAAAAATTGTGGTATTTAAAAATATTTGGTTTAATTAGTTCGTACGTTACATGAAAAGTAGATTTTTTATATAAACCAAGAATAATATATTATATTTTTTAACCAATAAACATAAAGTGATGAATTCAACTTAATTTATAGTTCGAATCTAGGACTTCCAGTAACTTTTAACTTTTAAAGCCCAAACTTAAATCAATTGGACACCATCCTTATGGTCATGGAATTTTAAATGCAGGAACTCCAGGCTACCCAGTGGTTTTATCGGGTTGGATATTCAGGTTGATAAAAAAAAATCTGAAATATGTTAAATTTGTAAGGGATTTTTGTTGGATATGGTTATTAAATAGTTGTGTGATGGGGGCATGTTATTAAATTTGTACAGAGAGTAGATATTCTTAATTCCAAACAGGGAATTAAGTATGTAAGATACTTGATATTTAAGGCTTCCCTTTAATACATACATTAATACTTTTAACAATATTTGTTTGGTCAAAAGTAGTAATTCATCAATATTGTTTCACTTTTTAATAATTGTTTCATTCCATTTTTTAATCGATTAATTTAACGTTTAATACGAATTAATAGGAACAACAACGTCTTATTCATTTAGTCATATATATGTTAGGGGCCGTTTGCCAAATGTTTACTCAAGTCATATTCCTTTACTGAATGAATATGGCAAGGACCAAGAATCTTACATGGTAAGAGTGAAGGCAATGACCGAGAGTCTTACCTGGTAAGTGATAGCGATGACTCTTACCACGGTTAGCGCTTACCGGGTAAATTGTTACATACGATGTCGTTTTGGTAGACAAAAATCTTACCCGATAAATAAACGATAGACTTGAATTTTACCGTTAAACGTTTATCGGGTAAGTGTTTAGGTAAACGGCCCCTTGTTTACGGTTTATTTATTAAGTTAGTGTGTAGTTAGAATAACATGTAATGCTTGTTCGGTTGTTCCATATTAAAACAATATTTCTTTTTAGGAAAATTAATTAAAATAGTCATTTTAACCGCACAGTTTCACCTCTTCGTCATTTCTCTCACAAATAGTCGTAAGTCTACAATTTACGAAGGGGTCAAAATGTAAGAAATAAAGAAGTTTTTGAACTTGGTCTGCAATTGCGGGGCAAATATGTGTTACTCAAGTAACCAAAGTCTTTGGTTCTAAAGACCAGATTGAGGGACCTGTAACTAATTTCATATTTTGTCCCTGCAATTGTCGATTTGTTCATATACTTCTTCTTTTTTACACTTTGACACATCCACAAATTGCAAACTTGTCAATTACGAACATATGACTATTTTCGTTATTTTAAGAGAAGTGTCTAAAAGGTGAAACCCACTATAAAAATTATCTATTTTAATTAATTTTCTTTCTTTTTACTATACCTTTCTTGTGACCTTCATTTTTCTGCCATACTCGTATGCTGATTTCATAAGTTACATTTAGTTTGACTAAATACCTTTTACTAAATATTTTATAAATTGATAATTGTCAAAATTATCTTTTTAATATAGATATATAATTAATATAATATTTTTTTATTGTTCAAACTGTTTATTTAACATGAAAAAAATAACAATTATTGTTTTTTACTGACTTTTTCTATCGGGACATGTAGTAACTAGTAAATATATAGATACAAAATCTAAGTTTGTAGGATGTGATTTAATTGTTGTTGGTGAGATTAAATGAATTTTTCTTATTTAAAAAAAATACATTAATCTAATATTTTTAAGAAAAGAAATATATATATATATATATATATGTGTGTGTGTGTGAAGGTTCAAACGAGAACCCTTATAATTTACGAGACGCGAGAACAACCCAATAACCTCAAAGTTTTTTAATTAATAAAATTAACTTATATTAAATATAAATAAATTAATAAGGGCAATAATGTAATTAAGTAATTTTTATTTTATTTTAATTAATTATAATTATCTTTTTTTTTTCTGAATTGATCACGTTCGTTTCCACTCTCTTCTCTTCCTTTGTGATAATTGTGTGATTGTGTAACCATAACCTATCGAAA